TCCGCGAAGGTGGACGCCCAACACCCACCTCCTCACGACCGACCTCACGCTCCCGGGAAGTGACTTCGCGCGCGGCCTCGAAGGATTCTGATTCTTAAAGTTGTGACGCAAAATTTTGCTTCTTTTTTATAAATAGAAAGAAAAAAGAAAATTCCAAATATAGTAGCAATGTTTTCGCACAGTGCGGTGTTGATCCTGGCCGTGGCAGCAGCGGCGTGCCATGGCATTGAGGTGATCGAGAGCGTCTACAAAGGAGAAAAGTACGAAAGCGAAGCGAGCAGACTCGAGAATTTACCTTATTCCTCCTCCCACATCGCCTCCGCCTTCGCTTCCGACAGCGGAGACCTGCAGGCGCGAAAGATGCCGGATGAGGAAGGTCGCAACTTCCCGTATTCCGGCCTGATGCAGCAGCTCGGCGAGGCGCTCAACAACCTGGTCAGCGGCCACCTGGGTCAAGGCGGGAGGCGAGACGAAGGCCGCGATCTTGACCTGCAGGAGGAAGGCAAACAGGTAAGGAGAAGACTTATAATTCTTTCATCAATACTCTTTCTCTCATTTAACGCTAGATATAGTGATAAGCTTACCACAATGTCCGCCGGCACTCAGGTCCTCGTATCCCTCTACTCGAACCGTTTTACATCTCGCAAAAAGCATGCAAATTCACGAGAAATAAAAGACCGCGAGAAAACCAGAGTACGGATCTTTAATCGCCGATACAAAAACGTTTTATTGCTTCCTCACCGACCGTTGCAGCTGCTCACCTACCGTTTTACCCGAAATCTACGCGACCAAAAATTCACCGACAGATTTCCGTTAAAATCACTCTCATAAAACCAGGAAGATCTGTGTCAATCAAACGCGCCTTATTCTTTGCAATTCTCGATTAACGCAGAGGAGCATTTTTTTTTTAAATCACCCTTACAACACTGTATCCACTTCCGAAAGTGATTGATTCCCAGCACGTGCCAGAGAACCGGAAGTGTACACTGAACGAGGCTGTTTGAGTTCGTTTGTTCATGGTTGTTCTGTGCGTGTTGTTCTCGTGTTTGGTGGTGCTGACTCGTGCATTCATCGTGTTAGATTTGTTGTCGGATTCTCAGTGAGGTTTCGGGTATTTCAATTTGGGCAAGTTATAATTATTATTATTGCTATACTAATAATTATTATTTTGTTATTATTATGATAATCATTATTACCGTTGTTGTTATTGTGATTGTAGCATTATTAATGTTATTGTCATTATATTATTATTGTGATTTTATAATTATTATCATTATCATTATTATCACTATTATTAATTGTCAATATTGTTATTGTCATTATTATTATTGCTATTATTATTATTATTATTTCCATCATTATAATTATTTCATTATCATTATCATCATCATCACTATCATTATCATTATCACTGTCATTATTATTATCATTATTATTATCGTCATCTTCCTTCACATGCTGATTACTGTTATTATTATTATTATTATTGTGATGATGATGATGATAACAATTATAATAATAACAATAGTAATACTACTACTAATAATAGTAAACAACATGAGAATGAGGATGACCATGGTGATGATGGTACTGTTACTACTAGAAGTAGTATCATCGTCCATATTGACACACAACAAACTGACAAAACACCACTGAATGTAAAAAAAAAGAAGAATCTATTCAATCCACGAACGTTTTCTTGGAACCTCATGCGCGCTCTGCTGCGTGACATCACAAGAGAAGATAGTGAGAATTTTTTTTGACCCAGTCCTCCCTTACTTCATTAAACGGAAATTGTTCACGTCAAGTTCCTAGCTCATTATGGATTGAGTTCGTGTGCAACGTGAACATGCATGTATGTACTCTTGTGCGTGCATGGGCGATATTACGTGAATCCATGTGTGCGTTCGTGTCTGCCGGGTGTGTTAGCGTTTCCGTAACAGCACGCGCGCGAATCGGTTCACGTCTTTGTAGATGGCAGTCGCATGTTATCGCCTCCGACTTAGCAAGTAAGGAAAAAAAAAGGGAAAGGTAAAGAGAATTTGAACAAACATCATCACCCGCTTCTTGCAGTCACGGCCGTGCGTCCATTCGTGCTTGTGCGTTCAGAAAGGCGCACTGCCTCATTCTCTCCTGTGTTGTGATGGCCAGCGCTGATCACGTTGTCGATTGTTTATTTTTAGTTTGTTGTAAAAAAATAATTTCTATTTCTGTTACAGTTTCTTTTATCGGTTCACGAGAAAGATGTGTTGATGATGCCACATTAAACTTGTTGATGGTTACAATAGTGGTTGCGAAGATGACAACGTAATGTTCATATACCCATGATGATAATAATGGAACGGTAAATTACGTTTAATTAAAACAATATACTGCAGGACATTAAACACCGATCTTATATTAACACACTTATTATAACACACTTGTAGAATAACCCATAATTGCACAAATAAACACATAAAAAGTTTACTCAAATACCTGATAGCCAGATGCAGTTACA